TGCCCACCATTCTTTGCCCAAACCAGCATATGATCGCATACTCACTGCTTTTTCCCGCAGTGTTTGGTTCAGTCTTTCCGCGACCCCATTCTGCTGTGGTGTAGATCTAACTGTCCAGTGTCTAGCAATCCCTTCCTGATCACAGAACTCCTTGAAAGCACCGTCTGTATACTCTGTACCGTTATCAGATCTCAGTGTCTTCAATTTCTTGCCCGTCCTGTTCTCAACCATCGCCTTCCACTTCTTGAATGTCTCAAATACCTCATTCTTATGCTTCAGAAAATAAATCCAAGCATACCTCGAATGATCATCTATGAATGAGACAAAATATTTAGAACCACCCTTGGAAGTTGTCGAAGCCGGACCCCAAACATCCGTGTGCACATAATCTAGTATCCCTCTGCTCTTGTGCTTGCTCCTCAGAAATTGAACCCTGTGCGCCTTTCCATACACACAGTCCTCGCAAAAATCCATGCAAGGCTTCTTCAGATTCTTCAGCAAACCCTCTTTACCAAGCAGATCCAGACCCTTCTCTGACATGTGCCCAAGCCGCCTATGCCATAACCGTGTGTGCTCACATGGGTCTCCACCACTTCCTTCAGCTCCAACTGCTGCATCTCCCGTCACCGTCGTACCCGAGAGAGTATATAGATTACCGTGACGAACACCCTTCATCACTGTTAAGGAACCCCGAACAACCCTCTTCACTCCGTTCTCTGTTACAATCTTGCAACCCCCAGAGTCCAAAGCACCGACTGAGATGAGATTCTTCCGCAAGCCGGGAACGTGTCGTACGTCCGTAGCCAGGTTCGAACCACTCCATCATGCATCTTGATTTTGATATTACCTAACCCACCGTTTTACAAGCATGGTTGTTCCCATCAATACCGGTTCCACCATCAATACTCCTGTAGGTAGTAAACCACTTCCTGTTTGGACACATGTGGTAAGAGCAGCCCAGAATCAAGAATCCACTTTCCGGAAGTATCATCGCCATCCGTGACGACATAGCATTCCTTATCGCTCCCATCCTCTGAACGTAAAACTCGCTCTCTTCCTTGCCTTCTCGTCTTTCAGTCTTGTTGTTGTTACTTTTTCCCCACCACAGTCTGCCTTGTTAGGACAGTCGACCTTGAAATGCCCAACTTCACCGCATTTGAAGCACGCTCGTCCCGCAAGGGGTCTCGATTTAGATCTAGACTTTCCTCCCTTGCCTTTTCCTCGCTCATTGCTCCTTCCTCTAGCAAACAATCCCTGCGCTTGTTCTTTGTTACCACCAGTAGTCATGTCACCGGTTGCAATCTTTCGAAGGTCATCCCCTAGAAGCGCCGTTCTAGTCTCATCCATCGTCAAATTGTCTCCCACAAGCATCAATGTTTGCACCAGGTTCTCATAAGACTTCGGCAGAGATAGAAGTAATAGAAGAGCCTGATCCTCATCTTCTACAGTCACATCGATGTCCTTCAGATCCGATATAATCCTATCGAACTTGTTGATATATTCCCGGATTGATGAGCCCTCCTCCATCTTGCAAGTATACAATTTGGATTTCAAATAGATCCGGTTTGTTAGACTCTTCGTCATGAAGGTGCTTTCTAACTTCAACCACACGCCCGCAGCCGTTTCCTCTCCATCTACCAAGAAAGCTACATCCCTTTCAAGGCAAAGGATAATCGACGCCCGTGCTTCCAGATCCAGCTCCTCCCAATCCTCATCAGACATAGTTTTGTGCTTCTCTCTTCCAGCCAAAGCCTTGTGCAATTTTTGCGAAATCAGCGAATTTTTCATCTGCATCCTCCAATAGGAAAAATCATTTTTCCCATTGAATTTTTCAATCTCGTATTTACCAACTTTACTTGTTTTACTTGTAGAAGCCATTTTCTGCTTGTATTATGTTAATCCGCTTCTCTCAGGAATTTTTAACAATTATTTGTGTTTTACCACACAATATTCAACCACCACCTCAGATCAGAAATTTTACCACCTCCGGTCTGAATAAGGGCTCTGATACCAATTGTTGGGCGCAGAGTCACGCCTACCGCCGCGGAAGCGATATGTCCTGAGAGAGAGCCCTGGCTTTTGTTGTCACAAAAGCACAAGTCAACCTCGATATCTGTGTTTCGCGAAGGAAACCCAGACTCAGTAGCGAAATATCTCAGCGAAGTGAGATATCCACTCTTCCTCTCATCAGCGCAAGACCGAATTTTGAGGGATCCTACAAGCAATAGCCAACAACCCAGAAAACAGTAAATACACGAGATTTTACGTGGTTCGGCTAACTAGCCTACGTCCACGGGAGGGGGTTTTCACTATGAGGAGAATACCAAACTTATTACAAGTTTTATCTAACTCTCTCTTTTCTTTTCTCTCAAAGAAACTCACACAACCCACTTAGTATTTTATCCACACTAATTTTTTCCCCACTCTCTAAACTCTTCCACCCCTCCTCTATTTATAGGAGAGAGCAAGGGGTAGAGGCTGAATATTTTTGGGGCGGAAAAAGACCCGCGCTCGGGAGCTGGCAGCGGGAAAAATTCCCGCGCACGTGGGTGAGCCCCCCCACGATCACACATACTTACCCTGTTTTTCTTAGGTTTCTCACTAATCCTTGCGCAATTCTTACACTGTAATCAATCGACCGCAAAATAACTAAACATGCACGCAACATTTTGACTCGTTATTGAGTACTTACCTTGGTTTGGTAAGCCCACTTACGGAGTCTTTATCATATAAGGCGTGACAACCAAGTTCTTCGTGCACTTAGAAGATCACCTTCCGTGTAAATATTGACTCAAAAGTCAAATTAAAATGGATTTCTTGTTTAAAAACTTTTAATAACATTTTTTTTGTCAATGCTTGTACTTTCTGGGTTAATTTAACAAATTGTGGATAAACTGATCTGTTGTGATCTATTGTTGCAGATAGATTCCTTTAACAAAAATTTTGTAACTATTTTACCCTCAAAGAGAGAGATCTTTTTTTTTGTGGGATAAATAGACCTCTCCTAAGGTTAAAAGGCTAGAGTCAAGAAAATTTACGAAGGGAATCTCCGCGATTAATCCTTTATTTAAACTTTTTAATATATTTTTTGCTTATTATTCCTTCTTTCGTTCAATGTACAGAAGAGAACAAGGTTCTTGCTGATGCCTGAAGAGATAATAGCATAGCGTTTTTTTCGACAGCTTAGTTAGAAAAAGGAGCGAGCTCATGATCTCTTTCGTTCTTCATCTTCTTCCTCAACTAGCTAACACGAGGGTGAGCGCGAGAAGCTGCATTAGGGCTTCCTATCCCCATTGCAACTTGCTTGGTCTTTTTCAGTCAGTTATATAAGATGGTTGTTTACTACACTCAAGGGGAAATTTCCGAAAGAGAGATTGCTTATGGGAATGTAAAGTGAAATGAGCATATATTGATAAAGTTGGTGAAATTGGTCCTCTTACTTTGAAAAGAAATACTTAGATAACACGACTCTGTCTTTTGTCAAGTGCTCGAGGTTTTATATGCTCTATCGGTTGTAGAATATTCTTGCAATTTGATTTTTGACTACTGATGTTTGAAAGTGCTCCGGGGAGCTATAATTATTTTGGAACGAGATAACTCAGGTAAGTGTCATGATAAGTAGGAAGCAAAATGATAATGGATTCTGCGTGCATGGTTCTTGCTTTTTAATCTTTTATAGCCATTCTGATGGGAAAAGGGATGATAATGTTCGTGAACGAAAATATCTCGTGGATGAGAAAATTAAAAACCAAAGCATTGAAGTTTACCTGATCTCGTGGATGGGAAAATCGCGGAAGCGCCGTTCACTTTTTTCCCCAATTGTTTCTTTTCAATGTGTAGGATAATTTTTGAGAGGGGAACTTATGGCTATATATATAGGTAGTAAAATTAGTGGGATAATTATGATAAATTATCCCAATTCTAATTCAAGTAGAATTCTACTTGACTAACACACAAAATAAATAATACAATTCTAGTGCTACAAAAGTTCTACTTGACTAACACTATAAAAAAAATATCTCATTTCCTAATTCTATGTGACTAACACTTTAAAAATTTATCCCACAGATTATCCCAGTTCTAGATTTAAGTTCTAGGTGACTAACCCTCTAAAAGAATTTGATTTCAAAATAAAGTTTTACTAACTCCTTTCAAATTCTCAAATTTGTGACACGACCATAAGTTGAATTTCATAATTTACCCCTTTTACTTTAGGTTGCGTTGGGAAAATGAGATTTTGATTTGGTATATAGATTTCAAATCTTAAGATTTGCAATCCATCGATTTTATAAATCATCTGTTTCGATACTTATTTTCAATGACGGAATTTCAAATCTTAGTCTTTAAATCTAATTTTTTTTGGGTATGCTTGTTATACACGATTCCCTAGTCTCCCTACTTGCAATGTTAGAGTTCTCTTCCCACTAAATGCTTACTAGTTTCAAGCCCGTGCGATGCACGGATTTCTCTAAAATACAAAAATTGATGTAGCAAAATAATACAAAATAAAACGGTAATAATATGTAAGTAGTCAGAAATGATACAACCTAAGCTGCATATATGTTTGACTTAATATTAAACTGTTAAAAAGAATGAAAATATAATTCTCATATTCTCATAACAAAACTGCTTAAAATGCATAATGTCTTTATGATTAATGTCATAATATTTTTTTTATAGCAAGTAATTAGTATGAAGCATAATTTTTAGTTCCAAACAAAATATTCAAAGCACATAGAGATACATGTCAATTATATATATTTGAATGAAAATAATAACTATCAATATATTAATAAACCAAATATTCAGCATAACATAATCATATCAAATATTTAGGTTTACCAACCCAAAACCACCAAAATAATCTACACTGATTACAAAAGCTTACTAAATATGTGTTCATACAAGAATACTAAATATAAGTTTCATACATCAAAAATCAGATAGGTTTTTCCCTTCAAAATGTAGCTTCTACTCTACGCTTCTACTCTCCGTAGAATCTAGTAATTATCTTTTTCAATTTTGATATGTTTTTCCTTTTTGTTGCTTGACATTTGCGGAGAGATCAAGTCCACTAAAACAGATTGCTCGACATCAGATTCGAACAAATTTCTCTTGCAAGGTGTAATGTTATCCGACGAACAAATTTCAACTTCTGTATTGTCACAAGTGACAGATAAAGAGACCTGTGTTTCATTATTATAAAATAAAATAATAGTTAGCATTTTAATGAGGTGGTAGGAATAGATTGTTCTATAATTAATGTGAAGAATTAAGAAATCATAAGTAAGTTGAAAAGAAGTAGGCAATACAGAAGATTTTTATGCAAAGTGTCAAAAGTTAATTAGAAGCTTTAATAATTTGATAATGGGTCAATGACAAATAGAACATAAGACACAAATAATGTTAACTAAACTTTAATCTTTTATTTGATGTGAAAACTTCTAAAACTCAAATGGTTAAAAAATCTTGTATTGTTAAAATTCATTGTACTCATATGTTAGATAAGAATCTAACAATATATAATGCATTCTTTTAAAAAATCTAACATTAAATTCATATTCTACACATTTTGGGAAAATAAAGGCATGTTTATTTTATCTATTAGTTAGTATAATTATAAGATATAAAGAAAAGTTTTTGGAACTGTTATTGTGAAGAATCAAGAGAGGAATATTAAAACAAAATTCAAAGTGATAACTGTGTAATAAGCAGAAACATCAAAAGTGTATCTTCTGAAATAAGTATTGTGAAATATGCAGCAAAAATTAGGTTTTCGAGAAATTTAACTTGTCCGGATGTCCCCTTAATTATGAAGATAGGTATTGAGGTGTTAGTATTACTTATGATCATACTTCAGCCTGGATGGAGGTTGTACATATAAAGCGTATGGTATGACGTCAATAGTTACTTTTCATTTTATTCCAAAAAATAATTAAAAAAAATACAAACATTAGGAATGGAAAAGAGAAGTTATACTAAGTGTGTTGACTTACATTATCAGTGAAATATTCTTGACATGTCGACTCCTAATGATTTAGAATAAAAAAATATTACTAATACATTTCTCAACTTCATTTATATATGCAGAGTGATACATGAAATGAATACATATGTAGCTTTATAAAAGAAGGAAATATGTAATGTACCTGGTTCAAATCTAAGCTGTCTTTGAAAGCTGCTATCCGATTTTCATCATCAGTCATTTTTGAGACGGAAAATACAGGCCAATTTTGGTTGAGATTGAATTCTGAAACTTGTATTTTGAACAAAAATTTCTTTTTCACCAACACATCTAACTCACGAGGAAATGAATCATCATCACCTTCCTGGGGACAATTTAAATAAGTAAAGTAAAGCTATTGAATTAATTAAAGCATTTAATTTTGACAGAAATCCATTATAGTGATTACTTTTGTTAGTCGTCCCCTCAATTCGACCGCAGATTTGTGAATAACTTGTTTAGCTTCTCGATCAAACAGTACAAATGATGCAGTACATGTATGGTCAATGACTAAAACCTGGACTCTATACCTGATGAAACTCATAAAAAATAATAAACCAATAAGAAATGTGATCTAAAGTGTACGTTGAAGATATAGACATTCATTCATGAAGAATATGATCGAATATAACGTGTGAAGAAACTGACATACATACTTCAACACATACCTTGGGATAACAAATCTTGCGTTTTCATTGCACTTCTCACACCAAAATTTACCATCTTCAGACTTTACCTTCCTTTGACATTTTTTGCATGCATTGTAAAACCAATTATAATCTGTTTGAATTTTCTCTATAGTTGCTAATGTCACACATGTGCAAACCTGTGTATTATTAAATAGTAAGAAAATAAAGTTATGTTTAATTTGATAGAAAATGATCTATTGGGTTAAGATTAGATGTTTATTTTGCCAATAATCCCACATTTTAAATAAGATGTTCAATTTCAATAAAATATGGTTTTTTCAAAAAAAATTACCTTTCGTGCCTCTCGAATTTCATCAAGTGTCTTCCGTTCAGTTAATAAAGCCAAACTCATCCGTCAAGGAATTGATCAGTCCATCTATTTTTTCTTTTTCACTCAATGCAGGCTCCTTTTGAACTTCCATATTAAATAATATATTTCGCATATTTGAAATGTGTTCATCTATTGTCTCATTTCTTTTGAACTTATGTGTCATATACTCTAGCTTGAAAGGTTTGCGATAGGGGAATGCGAGCCTAATTTGATGACCATCCCTTCCCCAGAATGATAATGTTCTTTTTCTTGCTGTTCGTTTCACAATCGCCATCACTAAAAAATAAAAAAAAATGTATGTTAGTATTTGTGATTAGAATCCTAGATGGGGAAGGGATGGCTCCAAGTTTCTACATAGTGAAATGCATAAATTGATGTAGTGATTAGAATCCTAGATGGGGAAGGGATGGCTCCAAGTTTCTACATAGTGAAATGCATAAATTGATGTAGCAAAAGAAAAAAAAAAGGAATACAATGTAAAAAATAAGACAACGTATGATCAATAATCTTCTTAGTGAATTTGAGTATTTAAGATAGCTACTTTTCTAATTAATCTATGGTTAAGCTTTTCATCAAGAAATAAAACCATATTTCAATAAATACCCATGGAAGAGATGAAGAATGAGATGTTTGGACAACAGTTTGTACATTATTTATAAACTGCAATTAAACAAAGAGAGGTATTTCTTCATAGCAAATTTACATGCGCAAAGAGAGCAACAATATCTTCTAGTATTTCCAAAACAGTCAACAACGATCAATTTAGAGTCTGGATATGGCAGGAGGGGCCAGATGAGAAGATGGTTATTTCAGAGAAAGAAGCAGAAGCATAAATGTTTTCAATTGTGAGTATCTGAATAAATGGAACATGTTTAATTGCTATTTGGTCAATAAAGAAATACATAACCTGTATTTACAGAGAACTTACAACCATCCAGAAAGCAAGCATAAGTAAAAAGGCATTGTAAATTTTCAATACAGACCATGTATACAAATCCCAGGTGGCACTGGATACTTTATTAGTCATAGCTAAACAATAATACTGTAGGCGTATAAAACTGCTTATAGGTCCCTTGACACAGCTCGGCGCGATGATTCGACAAATCGAGCGAAACGTTATCGCAACGAAACGACTAAAGAGGCTACAAAGCTAAACGAACTCTGCATGTGAACAACGTGAGTGTTCGGGAGGTCGACGGTTTTCCACACAAAGTGGATTTGACTAAAGGACACATCGACTGAGTTTACCTGCCAAATCGGATTCAAGATCAACAAATCAACAAAACAACACGAAACCAAACGGAAAACGACAAAACCGAGCGACGCTGGGGGAATCGGCCCGAACCGAACACCCCTAAGGTGCTCGGCCACAATCCGAGCCACCTAGGGTGGCTCGCGTGGGGCCACCCAGGGTGGCTCGGCAAGGACCGAGCAGCCTAGGGTGGCTCGGCCAAGGCCGAGCCACCTTCAGGGTGGCTCGCCAAGGCCGAGCCCACCCCAGGGTGGCAATCGCGGCCAAGGCCGAGCCATCCCCGTAGAGGTGCTCTGCCATACGGCCGACACCCCTGGTGGTCGGGCTATGGCCGAGCACCCTAAGGGGGTGGCTAGGCTCAGAACTGTGCAAACGCACAGTTCTGAGGAGCCATATAAATGGCCTGTACTCCGTTCATGAATTGAGGGACTCTCTTCTGGAACTTTGAGAGAGCCGGAAAACTCTTGCCGGATGTCACCTTTCAACTGCAGATCTGAAAGGCTTGAAGACTTGAGACACCGGATTATGATTCTTATGCGAGCACCCAGCACGAAATAAGGCAGGAGTTGGAGTAGAGTTTAGTACTCTCAGATCTAGTCGTTACACCCCGGATTCTAAGCTTGGCTTCTTAGACAATCACCGAGATTTGCGAGCGGTCGGCTGTTCCTTGCGTGAAACGATCCCTGCCCCGGCTATTACTCTCGTTGGTGGGATAGATACCCGTAATAACGTCGTAGGATCTGCTTGGATCGATCACGCGTGGGTCCAGTGGTAGTGTCACTCCCGGCCCCGCGCAGGCCAACACCCCACAGAAAGCAAGAGACCGCAAAACAGGACTCTTGTGATTTATTCGACATAAGAGAGATAGTTGTAATTTGATTTTCCTTTGTTTATTTTGATTTTCGATTGTACAGCCGATCTTATAAAAGACCACCGGTCTCTTTGAGAACGCATAAAAATGTTAACTGAGTGCAAAATGGAATAGAGAATAATGAAGAAACGCCAACTATTGCCCCGCGACACAAGATACGCACACAGAATTACATGTGCCTCTTTTTTCATGATAAAGATTAGGCCTACAGATTATTAGAGAAATTCTATAATGGTATATTAATGGAGATGAAGGTCCAATTGCAAGATTAGGCCTGCAGATTATTAGAGAAATTCTATAATGTTATATTAATGGTACAGGTTTGTGCACATCCCGTCAAGTTGTAATCTCTATCTATATATCTAAAAGAGTTGAACTTCAACTAAAAATTCCAGTATTGAGAAATAAGATCGAACATTATAAAGTTCTTGTGTTAAAGATCGAACATTATAGGTAGAAATATTAGCATTAATCTGAACATATGGATCACTTACAGGGACGCCGACGACCGACGACCGCCTCCAGTGACGCCGAACGCTTTTCGCAGCGTAGGGATCAGTCGTCGCCGGGGGATTAGACGATGGTTTGATTTGAAAAGTAGGGATTTGAAAATTAGGGTTGTGGGAATGAGGATCTGAGCCATGATATATATGCGTAATTTCCTTCCGGCGACGATTGGGTTCTCGAGGCGTCGATCGTGGGTAACGAAGCGTCGATCGCGGGTAACGAAGAACGGGAGAATAATGGGTTTGGGTGAAAGTTGGTTTTGGGAAAGAGAGCGGAGACAGAACAATTTTCTTCTGTATAAGTGGGAAAGAGATGAACGGTGAAATGGAAGAATTGGGGGAAGACGAAAAATAATGCTAGGGGCACACCATGAGCCACACTCTCAACCACACCCCAACACTCTCTATAGTGCAAGTGGGCTGTGCATGATATTTTTTTAGAAATATCATGCATGGCCCACTTTCACTATAGAGAGTGTTGGGGTGTGGTTGAGAGTGTGGTTCATGGTGTGCCCCTAGTGGGACTCGAAGACGAAACAGCTCATCGTTGGAAATGTAAGTGGTGGAGAGAAGTTCGAAGCGGAGATTTAATGTATTGATGCCAGGTGGAGTTTAGGGGCTGTTTGTTTTGAGTTTTTTGCCTCGGGGAGGGGGTGGAAAGCTGCCATTATGGCAGCTTTCTCCCCAAAACGCCTCTTTAATAGGCGTTTTGGGGAGAAAGCTCGGAGGCAAAATACTCAAAACAAACAGCCCCTTATAATTGTATGGGTTAATTTTGCCAAGTGGCATTTTTGACAGGTGGCATAACCAAGAGTAAGACTTATTAATAATAGTATATAGATGTTTGAGGGACTAAAATTAAATAATGAAAGACTGAAGGGACCAATACTATAAATAAATAAAAAAGCTTTTTCTTGAACTTTTTCTACATTACTTTTGTTGGGAATTTTATGGAGATTAATCTGTAGAGTTCAACACTAACGCCACCAATGAAAAATATCACAAGCAAGCAAACACAAAGATTTAACGTGGTTCGACAAATTGTGCCTACATTCACGGGGCAATCCAGAGAGAAATATTTCACTATAAATCAACAGTACAATCCCTCCAAGTTACACCTGAACTTGAGGATTAAATCATAAGAAAAAGATATAGTGTTACCTCTAGGGCACCAAAACCCTAAAACCTGTCCCACCAAAATTCTCCAACTCCCACGGAGAAATCAGCACCGTACCCTTGATTGCGTCGCCCGTTCTGAAAACAACGTTTTTTGAATCACTGCAATCGGACACCCAAGCTATCCAGAATCTGAACTTTTATCTCTTTTTTTTTCTTCTCTCTCTCCTCGCGGCACTGTAGAAAACCCGCGGTTACTGTAGCACCAAAGAACCGTTCATCCGAAAATTGTTCATATAAAAATTAATCTCAGGGCTCTCTTATATAGAATTCTCCAAACCTATTCATATTTCAAATAGATCTTCAAAATCCTTTTCTAAATATAGTTCTAATCCATGTAGACTTCTTATAAATAGAACTCTAATTCATATAGATCTCCTCATGTGAGCCTTATCTTGGGCTGGACCTACAACAATCTCCCCCTCCAGCCAAAAGAGGGGATATGTCAATCTTTAACTCCTCAACGGGAGTTCATGCTGGCTAATCGCCGACACAACTCGGTCTTCTCTCTGGAAACGGTCTTCTTTAAAAAATCTGCTGAATTTTCATCTGTGTTAATTTTCTGTAACTCCAACTTCTCTTTCTCAATAGCTTCTCTAAGCTAATGATATCTCACATCAATGTGTTTCGTCCTGAAATGGAATATAGAATTCTTACTCAAATTAAGAGCACTTTGACTATCAATGAAGATTTGATAATTGTCTGCTGTAAGCCTAACTCCTGCAGAAATCTTCTCAACCAAATCATCTCTTTACCGGCTTCTGCAGCTGCAATATATTCCGCCTCTGTTGTAGATAAAGAAACACACTTCTGTAACCTGGACTACTAAGATACTGCTCCCCCTGCAAAAATGAACAACCAACCTGAGGTAGACTTTCTGTGATCGAGATCACCTGCCATATCCGCATCTGCAAAACCATGTAATATTGCCTTCGAACTTCCAAAACTCAAACACAATCTGGAACTATCTTTTAGATATTTTAAGATCCACTTTACACCTTCCCAATAAACTTTCCCTGGATTAGAAAGAAACCTGCTCACAACGCCAACTGCATGAGCTATATCTGACTGAGTGCAACCCATGTCATACATCAAACTCCCTACAACTGAAGAGTAAGGAATATTCTTCATCTCACTCTTTTCCTCATTTGTAGTCGAGCAAAATTTCTTGCTAAGCTTTAAATGACCTGCAAGAGTACTGACTGACTTAGCATCT